GGAAAAGTCAAATGAATGTGATGGAATGAAACACCCTTGTATATTCCCCTCCACTTAAATGATATTTTGGCAAGAATAAATAATTAAAAAAAAAAGAGTAAAGGCTTTGATGAGGGGGAAGCTGAGAGACACAAAGCCCCAGAAAGGCGGCAGGAAATTAAAGTTAATTATAAAGGAGGATTAATTTAAGCCATCAGACATGGCATGCTGGGCTAATGTCAGGCCTTAGATGCATTGCAATGCATGACAGAAGTCTAAGAGCCGTCAGCCGCTGCAAAAGTGGCTTTTTATTGAAAAACATAAATTACATTTGGTGTTATCCCAGCAAAACACGTCTTGAGGGAGGCAGTGGTGGTGCGCAATGACCACTGGCTCGAAGCACATTGAACAGGCTTGGCTTTTTCCTTGCCCAGCAGTGGCAAGGCTGCAGCTCCGCTTTTTGGTTTTGAGCCTCTTCACATGAGCATTTGCCAGTTCCTCTACAGGACATGTACAAAGCTGCCTGATAACTCTTTATCCCACGTTCTTCCCTCACGCTGGGTCTCCCGCTCACGAGCCGTGCTGCTGTGCTGGGGCAGGGCGGGAGCCGTCGGTGCTGCCCCTGCAGCTTCTCTCCTGCCTCCACAGCTCAGCCAGCCACAGACTGCGGCATCTCTGCTGGTATGGGGTTTTAGGGTTTTTTTGGTTTTTTTTAGCCAGCTGCAGAAACTTATCTTCTCTCCTGTACCTTGGAGGCAGCGGCTGCCCCATCAGCGTGTTAGGGCTTCCATCGCACTGCTTTGCCTAGGCCTTAGCACCATTGCCTGTCTCCCTCCTTCTCTGTGAGATACAAATAAGCCCCATCAAAACCTGGTGGTGAGGACGGCAGGTGCTGGCCACACTTTGCGCTGCATTTAGTTGCATATAAAGTTTAGATGCCTAAAAAAAGCGAGCATTGCATGGCTGCAGTGTGGATTGCCTCGGCCTTTGCAAACCCACACGGCCACCACTCCTACCTGGTCCCTCCCTAATGGAGGGAGGAGTTAGCGCAGGAGGTCCTTTAGAGAAGCTGTAGAGCATGGCTGAGGTCTGTGGCGTGCCCCACACGGTCTTAACATCAACTTTAAGGACAGGCTGGATGTGGCACTTAATGCCATGGTCTGGCTGATGTCAGGGTGTTGGGTCACAGGCTGGACCTGATGATCTCAGAGGTCTTTTCCAGCCCCAACAATTCTGTGATTCCTGTGACTCTGTAGCTCTGAGCTGGACCAGGGTGAGCAGAGCCACCCCTTTCCCTTTGCATCCCCTCTGGCAGCCCCCCGGCCTGCCCGCCAGCACCCAGCCTTGCCCCTTCGCCTTGGCTGCACTTGTTGCCAACACTGGAAACTCCTTTGCATTTAAATAAGGGACTTACTCGGGATTTGACACCCCACTGGGATCCTGCTTCATCACCACAGCCCTGCTCTAAACTGCTTCTCGCAGCTCTGCATAACTTAGGTTTTCATGATGAGAGCCACGCCATCTCTCTATGCTTAGACACGTCCCGTCCAGCAGACGTACCTACTCCGCGTGCTTCTCCTAGCTGAGCGCCTTAGCACACTGATTAGCCTTGCTGCCTCGCATGATAAAAACCAAGCAAGAGAAAAAGAGGCTGCTGCTAGACGCTGGGCCTTCTAGGCAAGCCTGTGTGGTCACCTGAAAATCCAGCAACGCTTTCTCAGCACTGTTGATGGGTTACTCTTTCCATACTGCTGGTAGTGCGGAGGAGGTTGCAAAAGGGCATCTTAGCTTTTACAGCAGATCGACCCGTTAGCAGAGTTTTTAAGGCATCAAAGCAAATAATTTTTCCTTTCTGTCCTCCCATCTCACTCTCTTTATTGTTACTTCTCAGAGGGACTTAATGCGGAATATGTGAAAGGAGAAAACATGGAAGCTGTCGTAAGCGAGGAACCCCAAGGTGAGAACCTTGCATTCTTTACCCTGTCGGCATCTGGCCACAAAAGCAGCTTTACTGAAGGACTTCAGGATAAAGTCCCTCGTGCTGCACTGAGCTGCCGTGTCTCTTTGATAAAGACAGCACGTAGCTGATGCTGCAGCTTTTTGTGAAACACCCGGCACAGTGTTTTTCTCCCTTTATTGCACACAAAGGAAAGCCGTGGTAAGAAACCAAGGAGCTCATGCTGCAAATGATGGCAGTTAAAATTTAGCTTTCATGTCTTCAGCCATCGAGAGTGTCTTACATAAGAAAAGCATGAGCCACCTTTCAGTGACAGATAATCAAGGCTGCTGCAAAGGCTTTTCCAATGTCACATACAGCCAGCCAGAACTGGGTGCCTGTTGTTCGTGCTCTGGTTCCATCATGTGCTATTGTACTTAGGATTATTTATTGTGTTTTTTTTTTTTCTTTCTCTCTAGTTAAATATTCAGTACTGCAAACACAGTCCGCAGAACCACCAAAACAAGACGGTGCGAAGATTTAAAACATGACCTGGGGCTAGAAAACTATCAGTCAGCAGCAAACGGAGAGCGTACATTCTTGTAATTTAGCCTTTTATTTAATTTGACTCCAAAGCTATTTAATGTGTTCTTAGGCTTGAACTGGCTTCTTATTGCTCTAGGCTTTAGGGTTAGAGTGGTTGTACATGTTTATTTTTTTGTAGAGAGGTACATGTTTACATCGAAGTAGCATTGTAGGTTTGATGTCCAGTTGTATGCAAACCAACAGAAGGTGCTTCAGCAGTGGTCAATTTTCAATTAGGACACAAGGTCTTTTTCGAGAAGCAGAAGAGCTTCCAGGAGTGAGGACAGTGAAGTGCCTGTAAATCGCAATCCAAAGCAAACCATTCCAAGCGCTTTGTAAAGCACCTCCAGCCAACTTCTGCCATCAGCCATGGGCACGGCCTTTCCAGCAGAGGTGATGAAAACTGCATGGTGCCTGAGGGCACGCTGTGGGCCTTAGTGTAGCTCCACCTAAAAAAGAAGTGCCTATGGGTGGGTCTCGGGCTGAGGCAGGCAACTCGCCGTCCCAAAGCCAGGAGTTGAGGTTGCTTCACCACCACGCAGCGCTGGGCTTCTAACCAAATCAAAGGACCTGATTTTTCACGCCAAGACATAAATACAGGTAACGGCAGTGCGTGCAGAGTTTGCTTTTAGCAAATGCCATTTGAATGCTTGGCTGTGCTAGAGATCAGAAGGCAGCTGAAGGTGCCAAGTGATACAGCTTCTGTGTGACGCCAGATACCTGCATTGTCACGAAAATGAAAACTCTGCATGTCTGGATGCTTTCAAGGGCAGGTTCGAGTCTCATTCATGCTAGACCAGGTTGCAGATTAAACCTGAAAGAAAATAAACAAAGCAGGTGTCGTTCAAGACCTCTAATGCTCACTACCACAAGAGAAGTCACGCTTGGCAAGATGCCATCCCCCCGCCTCCTTTTATCAGCAGCGATTGAGAGCACTCCCTGGCACCCGAGGCAGAAAAAAGGATAAAAAGCTTCATCCTTTGTGCCACTGACTAACCTTTAAAAAAGGCAGAATCTTCTGAGAGGATGGATCCTCCATCACCATCCTGCGAGGGGTTCCTGTAGCTTTCTGAGCAGCATTGGGTCATGAGTGGTGCTCAGCAGGACACTGGGCTGCTGCCACGACAGCTCCTCGATCCCACATGAGCGCTCACGCAACGTTGTGGAACCCATATCAAAACCTGACACTCATTACCTTGCAAGGATTTGTGTTTGTGTTTCTAATCTATCCCCAACTCTTTTTTATCGCTGCTAAAATAGCGATACTGACACTTTCCAGTATGTTCATCCAAATCAATGATTGCTTATAAAGCATGTTCTCAAGTGAAGAAAAAGTCACTTTATGTGGTGTAAGAGGTACTCACTATTTACATATAAACCTGAAATGTGTGCATTTTGTATGGTTTTGCAAATCTCATATTTTGTGAATGTGTATTTTAAAAAAAAAAAAAAGAAGCCTTTCAGTTTGATGTACAAATTCACAGCTTTCAGGCAGACCCAGCTTCCAGAAGGCCTTGCCAGGAGCTGAACCAGCCTAGGAGCATTGCTGCCTAACAGCTCCTTTGGAAAGGAAATTGCCTAGTAACATGGCTAAGTATTTTGCAATAGCTGCACAATTCTTTATGCTCTTTTTAACACTTGCATTTTTAAAGCCTTACGTTAGCTCTGGCAGAACAGCCACAGTGTTTTATGAGGAACACGAGTTCTAGGGATATATGGTGCCTCGTGTGTATTCAGTGCTACTGGTACAAACTATTGCTGCTTTATTTTATAAATGTATTTGGATCAGAAAACAAAAATATTTAATTATTGGCTGCTCAGAGAATAGAAGCAGAGGAAATAGAGATGGGATGCAGTCCCTGTTTGCTTACTCCCAGAGAAGGATTTTCGTGGAGGAAGTGTGGTCTGCAGGATTTGGATCATCGCGGGCAGGAGCTCGGATGCTGACAAAGCCACACAGCTGAGTTTCTTCTATCCCCATTCCCAAGCACCATTGCATGTTTTTCTCACCTCTTTTTCTTTCTTGGCCAAACACATTGGAAAGCTGCAGCGTGAAAAATGTTTTTAGAAGGTTATTGTAGAGGACGTGTTACAACGTGGCACTGATGAGCACTAGCTGTTTCCCTAGCTTAGGTCAAGTGACTCTAATTCCGTTTCTCCTGTTGCTGGTGACTTTTCTGTAGATGCAGATCATCGTTTTTTTCCCATTTCCATTACCGTGCCCTCCCTGTTTGTCGAGTGGACAGTGTCCAGCAGTGCTTAAAGTCTATAGCACCCACCCCTCCTTTGGGAAATGTGGTCACTAGAACATAGGAGAAACGTGTCTAATCCACAAATACTGCAATTCTAAAAACCCCCAAAACTCTTTCACTGAAAAAAATCACCCATTTTTTAGAACTCAGACGGCGCTCCTTTCCCCAAGGTTTTCTCTATGAGTTTGGTGAATACTTACACCTCAGTGTGATTCCTAGGCATATGCAAAGCCATAAATGCACAGTGAAAGCACTAACTCAAAAATTTACAGTAACACAATTTAAGATATCTTTCTCTAGGATTTCATATAGGAAGATACTGACAAATAACTGCAGTAAACCAATTAAACTTGGTCTTCTCATTTAAAAGACGTGTAGATGTGGTACTTCGGGACACGGTTTAGTGGTGGACCTGGCATTGCTGGGTTAACGGTTGGACTCGATGATCTTAAAAGTCTTTTCCAACCCGAGCGATTCTATGATGCTCCTCAAAACTGGAGAAAAAATGGAAGTCTTCATGTGTTAAGTATCAGTAAAGGCTCAAATTGCTTTTTATTGTGGCCTGTCTCCTTCTTGATCTGAACAGTCAGATGAGTCTCTGAGAAACAGGGACTTTATCCATCACCTGTATTTTAGACATTACAGCAACTGAGAGGATTCCTGTGTATTTTCCTAGCAGTGATCCGAGTTCTGGAACAACTGACCCAGCACTAACTTTTCTAACTACTTTGATTTAATTCATATCTATTCTCTTTAAATCTGGATATGGAATTTTTAAAAACCCTGCACTTAGGGTCTATATGTACATGTTATAAACTTTCTCATCCTTTATAAAATAAGGCTATAAACCACTGGAAAACTGAGATTATTTTTTTTCGTGAGTCCAAAAACTATACAGCTGTCCTGAGAGTTTATGTGCTATCTGCGTTGTGAGATTTTTTTTTTTAACCACACCTCAGTTCGGCTTAACGAAAGCTATTTTTTAATAAAATGATTCAGAAAAGGTTTCTCAAAGAGAAAATTGAAAGAATTTAACTTGCTCTTTTCTTGTTGTTTTTTCTATCAATTACTTGCATTGTCCTTTGGCAATACTGTAGCAGTTTCTTCAGTTTAGGTTCCTTTGTAGAGAATACTCCGACATTAATTTCAGAATTTTTTGGCACTATAAACTCAGACATTTTCATGCAGCTCCACTAATGAACCCTTACAAGTGCTATATTGTCATGCTTAACTACTCATTTATTGTGATAAAAGTGGAATTAGTCCATAATACCATTTCAAATTCTGAAAAAGTAAAATGAGTGGACAGGCTAAGGCTTTAAAAATCTACTTCTGCAACAAAGGAGGTTCAGGAACAAATGAAGTTCAGCGATGATGCTATTGTGAAATTAGAGAACCCTTTATTTTAAGTCCTTAGTTAAAAGCCAGGTCGTGGTGTTTGGTGACGCAGAAGTGATCTATTCCACACGAAGGTTTAATGTAATGCTGTAAGAAAACACGATTCATTTTGCTAATGTGCTTGTTAAGGATCACGGGGGTAAAAACAGAATTTGACTACGATTGGAAAACACCAAATAAACCAAGTTGACTAATAAGACATTTTAGACCTGACTTTTTGTGGTTTTTTTTTCATGTTGAAATTAAACTGCAAATGGTGGGCTGTGTCCTCATTGTGTATCACGTGGAAGTACACTGAAGACTTTCCTTTCAAAAAGAAATTGAACTTTGTGAGAAAACAAGTAACGTTATGAAAACTTTAAGGGCAGCAAATGAAGTACTTGCTCACACACATGCGCTCTCCCCGGGTCCCCCATCGGCTAACGTGGAGGCAGTGCCCCATGGCCCTGGCTGGACTCGGCACGGCTGGATTTTGGTCCTTTTTGCTGCCCTACATTTCCTGCAGTTTTCTCCAGATTTGCACATCCAGCAGATGAATATCCCATGCAGTGCAAAATAAGCTTTCACCTTGGTATGCAGTGCTTAGCCCCACAGTCAGAAAAGGTGGTTTATATGTCAAACGAGCTACTTCTGGCCTCTGTTGCTTGCAGAAATAAAGTTCTCGCTTGCCAACTGCACATGACCTGGCGGTCAAAAGATGTCAACTATGACACCCACTTAATTCAGCAGATGGGATCTCTCAGCAAATGGACATTCCTTTTTGCTTCTTAACATTAATGCTTCACCAGGGGAATTCTCTAAATTACCCGTTTTACTTTGTCCTCTGCTCTGCATCTCAATGCACGTGAAGGAGAGCTGTTGATTCCTTATTTCCAGCTTTCAGAGAACCAGCCGTTCTTGACATTACTACATACAGCATGTGAATTAGGGCAGCTTTTCTCAGGGAAAAAAAAATAAAATCAAGCACTTCTTGTTTAAAGCTTCAACTCCTTGAGAGGAAGGCTGCCTATATAGGGAACAAAACCAGGCAGATAGGAACACTTAGCAGCTTTAAAAGCCACCTTCCATTTTAATGAAACAAACAAAAAACTTTACTTTTATCTACAAAGGAAGAAAAAAGTGTAATTCAGCTCAGAAAAAGGACTGAAATGGCAAAGTGTCTGATGCTGATGATTCACTTACTTTACAAGCAAAACAATGTTTCAGTTGGTTACCAAAGCTTCATGTTGTTCTGGGACAGGATTCAGGTTGTTCCCCCTCACATGTCATTCACTGATAACAGGAAAATCCTACCTCAAACTTAACCGCT